AGAGGGGGAGAATCACCTCCCTTGACTTCTTTCTTGTTATGCAGCCCAGGGTACAATTGGCTTTCTGGACAGCAAGTGTGCATTGCTGGTTCGTGTCTTTTTTTTCCACAGGGCTGCTCCCATTCCCTTCGTCCCCAAGTCTGTATTGATATTGAGGATTGTCCCAGCCCAGGTGCAGGAGCTTGTACCTGACCTTGTTGAACTTCATGAGGTTTGCGTGGACCCACTCCTCAAGCTTGTCAAGATCCCCCTGGATGGCATCCCTTCCTTCTAGTGTATCAGTGTATCCCTTCCCTCTAGCATAGTAAAAGCGGTATTGTGTAATAGTTAGGTGTGTGTTTAACAACTTGCAAGAGGGTGGCCAGCCTGTTGCATTTGGCTCTGTACTGTCTGTCCTTCCAGTAAGTCTGGTCGACACTATGCTTATCTTTTAAATGAGAGCGCAGGAAAGTACTTGGTTGGACTTCAGGCTGGATTAATTGTTCTGGCATCCTGCAGTCTGCTTCCTGCCTTCCTTTTTTATGGAAACCCCACAGCCCTTATTTGTCGTGCCGTCTACACATGGGTGCCCTCAATCAGGCGTGCATTTGATCAGAGATGGCATTGTCCTCTCACAAAGAAAGGAATATCCACATGTTAGTCACAGAACGTAGGCATGTTCCGTAATGCTGGAAGAAATGGTGTATTACTGCTTTTTAGTCATGAATCTGTGAAGTCTCTACACATATGGAGTTATGTCAGTAGTGAGAGAAATGTTTAATTATTTTTAGTGTTAAAAGTGGGGCTCTCTTGAAATACCTCTACGAAAGACTCCTTTGCAGAATTCTGAATGGCATCAGTTAATGTTTAGATCATCTTAGAAAAAGGGCGGCTGCATTAGCACCTCTGTTTCCTCTTACCGCTGATGATATTCTTGCATGCCTGCTCTAGCACTAAGCTTTCTTTGTGAAATCAAAGCTGTTTTGTGGCATTAGACACTTGTAGACTTCTTGTCTCTGTTCTGTTGCAAATTCTCTGCACCCTGTTTGTCCATGTTTGTCATCTTATTCCAGTGAAACAGGAGAATTGTGTTGTCAGGTACTAGTCAGTTACTGTAGAAAGACTGCCAGCAGATAGTGTTTATCTCGCCTATTCACATTATATAGATAGGGTGCTTCTCTCCCGAGCACAAAGATAAGGCTAAAGAAAAGTGCAGGTTTGTGTGCCAGTGTCAAGCACCAAAATTTCTGATAAAATAATATGCTTTGGCAGAAGGTTGCTCTGTATCTTAGAAGGTATTTAAAAAAAAAAAAACCAAACCCATCTTTTTCTAGTCTCCCTAGCTTCACTTGTTTGTCACTAATGCAGTTGTGAGAACTCCATTTCATATCCAATACAATTAAGTATTGAGAGAGATTTTGTCTCAGATTTTTGAAGTGAGCACAATGCCTCTGGTTTGTCACCTAATGTTTAAAAACCACTTAATAATTAAGACAGGGTTTTGTGCAATGTATGGTATCCATAACATTTATCATTATTGACTTTGCAGAGTTGAAAGGGTTTTACTGGGATAATGCTAGTCAGCTTTTGAATTGGAAATTGGCTGAATTGTGTGTTGTGGTTTAACCCCATTTGGCAGCTAAGCACCACACAGCTGCTTGCTCACACCCCGGCTCCGGTGGGATGGGGGAGAGAATCAGGGAAAAAAAGTAAAATCCCTGGGTTGAGATAAAGATAGTTTAATAGGACAGTAAAGGAAGAGAAAGTAATAATAATAATGGTAAAAGAATATACAAAGCAAGTGATGCACAATGTAGTTGCTCACCACCTGCTGACTGATGTCCAGCCGGTTCCTGAGCAGCGATCCCAGCTCCCCAGCCAACACCCCCGCCCAGTTTCTATGCTGAGCATGACGTCACATGGTATGGAATAGCCCTTTGGCCAGTTTGGGTCAGCTGTCCTGGCTGTGCCCCCTCCCAGCTTCTTGTGCACCTGGCAGA